AACTGAAAGATTCTGAATGCAACACCGCATTTAATCCTGTAAAATCGCCAAGCACAAAATCCATGAATTCCAATGTTGCCTTAACATACGGAGATCGCAAGGATTGCAGAATTCTTTCTGCTTGCGGTGATTTGGTCTCCATGGCTTCGGATATAAAAAATTGCTGCAATGCAGGCCACTGTTCTAGAATGCGGGAAACACATTGAGACAAAGAAAGCCAACGTGTTTGGCATGGCTTTAAAATTGTATGAGGTTGGCATTGGGCAAAATGCTGAAACTCTTCATAGCTTTTTTGTCTATTTAGAGAATTCTTGAAGTAGTTGTATGTGTCAGGAACAAGTTGTTCTGCTGTTTTCGAAAGGCATTCACAAGCATGGCTCGCAACCAAGTGAAATTAGTGACAAAAGCACTTCAAAACATAGATATCTGGCACGGCATTCTTCATTCTAGTTAGCACAGAGTTATTCTGTCCTTGCATAAGGTTTTCACCGTCCAATGCGTACTCAATGACATTTCCCAGCCAATGCCATCTGTTTTCAGAATGTTTTCCAGTGAATTAAAAAGGTCGTCTGCATCCCCTGCTTCTACTGGTATCAAATGATAGAGATAGGTTGCTGGATTCAATGTGTTCTCATCAAAAAAGCGAACATTGACGCAGATCTTTTTCATCGTTATATCTGTCGTCTTATCTCAGAGAATTAAAAATCCTTGTCCGTTTTTCATTTTTTCCACAATGGATTCGTGGGCACTAGTTGCAAGACATTCTGTCATCAGGTATGTCCCTTTGGTTGCATTACAGGTCATGCCGTTGATTGCTTTGGAATCATTGGCAACAAAATGTAATATTTCCATCAGTTGGTCAAGGAACTTAAAAGACAGATTCTTCCTGGCCACTAAAGCGACGGTGTTGAGTTCAGTTTTGATCCTTGGATACGAAGAAACTGCAACAAATGCAGAAATGCTGGTCGAGTTGTCTCAATGGTCTTCATATTGCGAATATGTTGGACTGACTTTGTGTGAGATATTAATTCGGATTTACCGACAACCAAATCTTTGCTGCAAACATTGCAGTATGCAATGTTTGCCATTATGATTCTTTGACAGAGTCAACCAACCTCTAGCCCATTGCTCCTACTCCCACTCCTTTCGATACTTCTGAGCTCTATATTTTGTTTCTTTTTCTTTAGGCATATTCAGGACGAAATTGAGCTTAAGCACATAACTGAATTATCCGTATGCTTTCACTGCATTGACTGTAGTTTTCTCTGCTCTCCACAATAATAACCAAAAATAGGGCCCGTTTGCACTACAGCATCAAATCCCTATTGCTTTATCTTCAAAGG